TATCAATCTAGCTACGATATGGAATTCTACTAATTTATAAACATTTCACTTGACTTTGTATTTGAATAAAAATATTTTACACATTGATGCAAGTGCATTGTAATAAATGATTATATTTTTATGAGAATTCAGATAGCATCTTTCATGTCAATTTGACTGTTTGTTGCTTGAGATATAGAATAATAATAAAAATAATAAAATTATTTCAGTCCTGAAAACACTGCACTGTACTATACCTTTCAACTTTCAACACAAATATTTAATAAAAATTTTGGCTCTAAAGAACCACAATAATGTTAAGGAAAAATAAATAGATTCCAACTTGCCAGTGCTTTAATTTGTAAAGGAACTGAACATTAAAGTAAATAAATATCTAAGAATAAAAAACAGTGATTACTTAAATTTTATTTGTTAATAATACTTAAAAACATTAAATAGTGGTAATTGATTAATCTGTGTCAAGTGATATGCTTATACTAATAAAATCTACAAAATTGTGTAACTAACAGGCGTTGGTTCAAAATTAAAAAAATCCAAATGTTGATAAGAGGAACAGTCAATGCCCTGGTTAACATATTGGTGCAATTCTGGTTCTATCTTGTCATCTTTCCAATCCAATGTCTGTTTCTGAGGGCTTTTCTCTGCACTTTTGACCTCATCGCCCTTCTTAATGCGAGTCTTTATACTTTGCTTTCTAGAGAAGTTGCCTATATGTTAAAAATAATTTTTAACAAATTTTTAATAATAATTAATAATATATCAAAAACAAATATTTAATAGGCAAAGTTAAAAGAATAAGTAGAGAAACATTCGCACCTATTTGCTGCAGCATTTGGCTAAGTGTCAGAAATTGAGAACTAGTGCGTGAAAATCTATATGGCGGTGCCCATGGACGGATTTCCTCTAGTGGCAATGGCTCTAATTGATCATAACTAACAACACGCTTTTCTCCTAATTCTTCAATGAACACAAGGCAAGGTCCGCCATCTGGCCGCATCTCTTGAATATGACAGTGGTATGGTACTGATTGGTCAGACTGCAATTTGCACAGACATTTAACCCCTACTTGCAAAGTGGTACCATCAGAATATCTAGCACCATAACGCAACTCTGCAAAATATACTGTCATTACACTATTTATTTCAGCATTAATAACACTTTATTACTTAAAAAGCTTTATACAAGTTTAGATTTAGCTCTTAACAAATTAGTAATTTTACAAATTTAATTCTAAAGAAACCAAATATATGCAAGCATATGAAATAATTTCATCTTCCAATAAGAGTAATGTATACCTCGTCTTAGATCACTCCATACATCAAATTCAATGTTCCGATAAATATCTGGGTCTAAGGCTTTTGCTACTTTATATGGAAATGGTGTAATGCCATTATCAAGCAAGTCTTTAGCACTGTTTACATTTAGACAATTAATGCAAACATTTTCAAGTTGGATAAGACTACGATTGAACACAAATATACTTAAAGATTCTTTAACAAGACTTCCTTTATCTGGATCTTCAGTATGATGCTTGCATTTTAAAGCAACAGCATTATTATTCTTGTCTTTTTCATCATCATTGACAGTCTCAATAAAGATTTTCGCTCTTTCCTTTTGCTTCTTTCTACGTTCTACATTTTCAGACATAAAGTATTCAATGTGATTTGATGGCACTTTATCGTGAAGCATCTTGTCAACAGCATAAGGTAGATCTTTAATTTTGTAAACACCATCATACAGTATTTCATATACCAGGGCTATAAATAAAATTTTAGAAACAAAAATATCTTAAAACATTTGTTAAAACCTCCTACCCTCCACAAGTAAAATATTATTATTTCTTTTATTAAAAACAAAAACCAATTAAAATAATAATAAATTAAAAGTAGTAACTTACACTGGCAAAAGGATGATGTATTAATGAACTCTTTAGTATACACTGCATCAAAGTGCTTAGTATCCGGAGAATAAAATAAGTAAATTTTATTGCCGTAACCATTGCAAATTTTTGTTTGAGGACCCTTGTTGGCTTCGAAAATAACAAAATCACGTCTGGAATTTATTTTTAAGAAAAGCTGTTTGAATAGTTTTAACTTATATTAATATTTAACAAACTTGTATAATCACTACATTTTAATTTTAACCAAATTATCATTTGTCTTACCTATACAAGTGGCTCATAGCAGATATTTCAATAAGCCCACCCCACTCAGAGGGATTAGACATCTCTTTTAGATAATTTTCGAAAGAACAATTCAAGGACTACAAAATAAAATATAAATGAAATCAAAATTATATTAAAAGCAAAATGAATTCAAAAACAATTTTGTATTAAACCTACCCCTTCAAAGAGGTGTCTTTTGGAGGACATAAACTGAACGCAGTCTATTCGAACTTTATGAAAATAGCGCTGAGTATTATAAACATTCTCAGATACAGCCCTGAAGAGACAGCTGGAATCCCTAGCAGTATGTTTTCGGAAAAAGCCCATTTCGTCCAACCATCTGTCCGGCTCTGATGAACGTTTATTAAGTTTCCATGGTACTCGGTAACGAATTGGAGACGGTGACATTGTAATATGCAGCTAGTGATCTGGAGATAAACAATAACAATTGACCTATGCCCCGATGACATACGGTAAGAAAAAACCAGACGTTCGTGAGTGCAATTCTTATTTCAAATCAATGAAACTCACAAACCTAAATATTGCACCAAAACCATATCGTAGCTACATTGTCTGGCGAATGCAAATGGTTGTTTTCTTGCTTACAATACACAACACGTGCAAAGAAATTGAGCACTTGATGTTTAGTAGCAAAACAAAAATGCACTCACCTAAATAATATTTACCACCAGTCAGCATCGGTGTTTAATAGCTATTTATTTAATATGAAGCGCGATTTTACGAACGTTAGAAAAAATTGCACGTGCCAAAAGCAAACCGTCAAGAGCCGGCGGGAAGAAAATCAAAATAGCATTTTTGCGAAAATGTTACCATGAATAAAAACAAATTATTTTGGTAAGTAACTATTTTGTCAACTTAATAATTATTATATTAATATCTTAAAATTAACAAATATTTATATATCAGAAATATGTTGCAATATGTGTTTAAGTTATTTAAAATATATTGCAGATTTTTATTTGATTTACGATGGGTGAGTAGAGTTTTAACTGGATTCGAACAAAGATTACATTAAAATAAAATCAATAATCAATTCGGTTCGAATAAACTATTATTGATTTAAGTTAGTTCGTAGAAGGTATGAGCATTATAACGTATAAACAGTTATGAAAATGTCTATTTACTTTATAACGTATAGGTAGCTTTACATAATACTCATAACTATCTATTTCTTGTAACGATTCGCAAGGCAACGCATAAAGTACCTTCGAACCAGTGGCGTAGCTATGCAGCCAAGGGCCCCTTGGCAAAAATGAAATAGGGGCCCTATTTGAATTACTAATTATTTTGCTTATAACAGTGTTAATAAAAGAAATACTTATCAAAAACGAACAAAAAGCTTTGTAAATACTTAGTATATATATTAAATAGTATATTAAATATTGAAACTCGAAATCTAACTTAGATACGATTCTCATAAAACGCGATACGACCCAGGCCTACGTTACATGAAAAATGGACAGTTATGAATATAGACAGTTATGATAACGTTATCGGTTGCACAATAATAATAACGTTACGTCATTTATAAAATACATAACGACCCAACGCTAGTTTGTGGTACGCGTAAGTGTAATCTGTGGTGATGTAAATATTAAAATTGAATTTTTATTGCTCTTTAGGGTGAGCGTATATAGGCGTGCATATACTTTTCTTATATTATCTGTGCGTACCCTTCTTATTAAATATAGTTTGTGGTGCGTACTGGTTAACCGCCGTAACTGCCTGCTTACCGTACCGATAACTGCATGCGCTTTCAGACCGCGCACAACAGGCCAATTGAATTCGTGTTGGTTTTTGATTCAAACTGACTACTCCATACAGTACAGTTCTCAAGACAAAAAGTCTTGAAATTCACTCCACATACTAATGAAACACAAAATAGAAATAGAAAGTCACACAAAATTCAAAGTTTATTCAGTCAATTTGTCAGTATTATTTGTTGGCAACATTTTAAAGATCTATGCTTTGGCTTTGGCGGTGGCGGGCGTCAATCCATAGACTTACAATCTCAAAGATTTAAATAATTTCTACGCTAGATATAGTACTTTTTATTAGTTTGTGATAATTATAATTTCTTTGCCATCTCTACCATGGAGGTTAGAGAACAGGAGAACGATCGCTCCGTGCAAAAGCATAGCCAGCCTGTCCCTGAAAATTTGTAGAATTTATGGCCACGCTGCCGTCGGTAAGTAGTGTCTGTGATGTAATTTTTAAATTTTGGACAAAAAGAAACATTAAAATTGGTGATATATTATAAATAATTTTAAGAATAATAATTAAACGGCGTAGGGAAGTGACGACCCCATCGCCCGCTGACGTAATGGTTATGTGATAAAACCGCTATGTCAGCGCAGTCAGTCAGCACCTTGCAAGAGTTGTTAGTGCCGTGCCTCGGCAAAAATATAAGGTGCAAAGGCCCACTTGTGTACATGGCCTCACCATGAAACGGCGCCGGGTCTGGGCGTCTCCCGTTAAATGACGCCCTCTAAAATGGATGACGGAATTAAATAGAACGCGCAAAGGGCCGCTGCCTGGAGGTCGCCAGGGCGCGTCTGGAGCTGGCGCTGGACGCGACAGCATGCGAACCGCCAGCCGAGCGCAAGGTGCTGCATGACCACCCAGCAGCCCCTCGCATCCATCATCCCCACCAGCTGGCTTGGTGGCGGCAGGGTCTTCGCGGGCCCAGCAATCGGCACCCGCCACTGGTGGAGTACGCCGCATGCGTTGGACAACCCTGATGAACAGCAACGCATTGCGGGCGTATTTTAGGGCGAAAGGGGGAGAAATTGGAGGTTTTGCGTATCGGGCAAGGATGCATCGACTTTTTGCTGAGCTGGAGCCATCTGTAACCGTCACCGAGCAAAACCTGGCATACGGAGTTTGGTATATCTTGTGCTCAAATACATTTGATGTCACCGAACTCGAACGGCTACGACATGAGGCTGTTCCTTCATCGGGTGAAAATGCTGCGGCTGAGGATGCGGTGCCACAACTCGCAGAGCAAACGGCAAACGTGGATGCCGCCGTGAATACCCCGGTTGTGGAAGATTTAAACGATGATGAAACAGTCGCTCAGGAACTGGAACTAGAGCAAATGAGAAGTACATTGGAAAAGGAGATTGTGGAAACGCGCAGTACGCTTCTCGAAAATCAACCGCGACTTCCCCGCATAGCCCTAAGCAAGCGGAATCGGGGTGTCGTGAGGGCTCTGAACCCAATGCTGGTGACCTATTTGGAAGTCAGCCGGGACTTTTGCGAGACGGACTCAATTCTTTTTGGCGCCGCACTGGCAGTCTGCCGTATTATGGGCGCCAAACTTTCCACGGCTGGACACGCTACTGGACGAAGTAGTGCTATCCCAGCCTAGAGAATAAGAATTGAAAAACGTATCGCAAAGGCTAGGGCCCTCATCGGCAGACTGATATGCTTCAGGTCAGGCAATACCAGGCCAAGCATTGTGCGCACCGTCAGGATGGCGTATGCTGGGACAAATGTTAGTTTGTCCCAGCCGGATACAATGCAAAAACTGACGGAGCGCATAGACGCCTTAAGCAAAGAATCGCTGCTTGGGGAAAGCGGATTCGGCGAAATACCGAGAAGTCGACACGGTTCAACCAGAATTGTCTCTTCCAGAGTGATCAGAAGAGGCTCCATAAATCATTGGAGCGACCAATGGTAAGTGGAACGGGCCCAGCACTGAATCAAGCCGACACGGTTGCATTCTGGCGCAGCCTATGGTAGAGCCCGTAAACCACAACGAGGGCCCTTGGACGGAAGTTGTGGCGAGTCAGTGTGCGGATATTACGCCCATGGATCCCGTCATCATAACGCCGGATGACGTAGCTGAGGCGGTCCGTAGGGCCCCGAACTGGAAAAATCCGGGGCTTGACGGGCTGCATCACTACTGGCTGAAGGGGTTCATGGTGTGTCACGCTGTGCTCGCCCGACAGTTTCAAGAGGCTCTCAACCAGAAGTCGCTCCCAAGCCTCTTCACTACTGGGATCACTCATTTGGTTCCTAAAGTTCAGGGTGCCACAGACCCGAGTAAATACCGGCCCATCACGTGTCTACCTACCATATACAAGACACTAACATCCATTTTGAGCGCGAGAATCACTCGTCAGCTGGACTCAAATCAGGTGATGTCGCGCGCTTAAAATGGATGTCGGGGCGGCGGTCGTGGAACCAAGGAACCACTCCTCATTGACGCGGTCATTGGCAAAGTGGTGAAACGCAACGGTCGGAACTTCTCCGCCGCCTGGATAGACTACAGGAAGGCGTTCGACTCGGTGCCCCATACATGGTTAGCCAGTTAGATTAGAGATTAGATTAGAGTTAGGTTAGAGGGTCCTCGAGCTGTACAAGATTGACTGTACAGTTAGAGACTTCCTCGGTCAGTGTATGGGGCAGTGGAGTCCAATCCTCTGTCATCTAGGCGAGCGGATGACGGCTGCGGAAAGCCGGATAAGAATAATAAGGGGTATATTCCAGGGATACTGTCTGAGTCCAATCTGGTTCTACCTCTCTTTGAACCCTCTCAGTACCTTACTTGAGGGCTCCGGGAGGGGTTTTCATCTTCGGAAAGGAGGTACAAAAGTGACCCACCTGTTCTATATGGATGACCTCAAGTTATTCGCCTCCAGTAACTCCCATCTTATGGAATTGCTAAACATCACTTGTGAATTTAGCAATTTTATTGGAATGGAGCTGGGGAGGGATAAATGTGCGTACTCCATGTTGAATGGGGAAGGATTACTAACTCTGAGGGCATAGACTTATCTATGCCCGTCCACTTAAGGACCCTTTCCGGGGCTAAAACATACCGATACCTGGGTATGTCACAGAACATCGGTATCGATGAGCCTGGTACGCAACAGTCAGTATGCGACGTGTTTTATGCACGCTTGACCAAAGTGCTTAACAGGCTTTTGTCCGGTGTGAGTAAGACACACGCATATAACGGCTGGGGCACGCATATAACCTTTAGCATACTCAGGTGGACTCAGACTGAACTTAACGCCCTGGATAGAAAAGTCCGCACTACCATGACGTCCCATAGGATGCATCATCCGAGATCGTCGGTAATGAGGCTGTACTTGCCGCGAAAGCACGGTGGGCGAGGCTTCCTGAGCGTGCCACCATGCATAATCGTGAAGTGTGCAGCCTCCGTCATTACTTCCTGGCGAGATCGGATGATCTATTCTATAACGACGTAATTTCTAGCGATAAAGGGCTTACTCCTCTATCCTTAGCCAACGAGCAATGGCAGGACCCGGCCATACCGACCTTATTACTTACCGATTTCCGACCGGGAGACCGTATGGAAGGAGAAGGAGCTCCACGGGAGGTACTACAGGGCTCTACATGAGCCCTTCGTAGATACAGTCGCCTCCCTCAACTGGCTACGTTTCGATGGCCTCTTCGGGGAAACCGAGGGTTTTGTGTGTGCAACACAGGATCAGGTTATTAAGACCAACAACTATCGGAGATACATCCTAAATGATGGCACCGTCGAAGTCTGTCGAGCTTGTCGCCATCCCGGTGATTCACTTAGGCATGTCATCTCCGGTTGTTCGGCGCTTTCTAACTCTTAGTACTTGCACAGGCACAACCTAGTAGCCAGAATTCTACACCAGGAGCTCGCTCTGAAATACGGTCTCGTGGACCGGAAATTGCCGTTTATTACAAGTATTTGCTGGAAGCCGTGCTCGAAATCGATATTGCCATCCCGTATGACGAGAACCTCGTGAAAGCCGAAACAGATAAGCAATCAAAGTATCTGGACCTGGCTCACGAGGTGACCAACTTGTGGGGTGGTATGCCGACCGAAATTATTCCTGTAGTCGTCTCTGCGAATGGGCTAATCCCAGTTAGCCTCTCTGATCATCTGAGGCGACTGGGACTCCGTGACGGACCGCTCCGGGCTCAAATGCAGAAGGCGGTGCTCCTTGATACTGCCCGCATCGTCCGCCGGTTTCTTTCCCTTTCCCCCTAACCCTTGGCCGTTTGGTCTCCCCTGCCGAGGGCTTCCATCTGGTTGGGCTTTTATTTATTTATGGATTTTTGTATTTATTTTATTTTATTGATATTTATGTATAGTTATCTTTTCATTTTCATTTATAATTATATATTTATACATCCCAACCAGATGAGAAAACTATATAGATACCCCACATAATAATAATAAATCAATAACCCTCCCGAAGCTCAACCTTTCGAACTTCACAACGTCCGAAGTGAACTTCACTTCTTCACTTCTTCGTGGGAGGGGGCCACTTGTATTTTTCAAAACTTATAGGCTAATATGGTTATGGCAACCCAAAACGGAGAAATGGAAAATAGGAATAAACGTTTAATGCCGCTGCCTGGGGGCGATCGCCAGGACATGATCGGAGCTGGTGACGATCGTGTAGCAATGCGAGCCAGCCGGACCTCGTTGAACAGGCGGGCGAGGGACGGAGAGATCCAGAGGGGACGAGGAGGATCCTCAAATGTAACAGCCGATCCTGGTGATAATTTGCAGAGAAGGGATAAGCCTCCTAGAAATATCTCTGCCGGTACATCAGAAGTGACCATAGAAATCGTAGCAGTAAGCGAAGATGCTAGCAGAAAGTGATCACAAGAAGAACTTCATGATGAATATGTTCTGTTATTTTAAAGCGAAATCTGAAGGCCCTGGTTACATAAAAAGATTTGAAAAATTGTTCAAAGATAGGAATCCTAACAATCCTAAAACACTAATATTCACAGGAAACACACTTGCAAACGAAGCTAGAAGTATAATAACTAGGAAATTCTTGACTGTGACGTGTGTGTTGTTTGTGTGTGTTCAAGTGACTTTCAATAAGTATTGTTATAATCTACATTGAATAAAAAAGTTTCAGTTTCTGTTTCTGTTTCTGTCAACCCAGGCTTTAGACGAAATTAAAATTGAACAAAACATAATAGTAGCACAGAACATGGCTGATCTCAACCTACTTACATCTCTTATTTCACTCATAACTACAATATGTGATAGTCCAGGCAAACAGATCTCTGATAATCATAACTATACATATAACGCACAAAATTCTCTCGCATTATCAGATACACTTACAAGGACCCAACCACTTACAACATGTACAGTTTTAGAAACTATTCCAGAACAGCAAAATAGATATACGTTTGATAGTCCTGATATCAAAGTAGATGACAACCAAGATCCCTTTATTCTGAAATTCCTACAAACTCTTGCAGAAACTAAAGAAATATCTATCGAGGGTAGGGATTCCTAATCAAAGGCTAAATTTTGTAAACAGTTTTGCGAAAATTTATATAAAATTAACAACTTTTTGTCAAAACTTTTAGAGTCGCACCAGTCCTTGAGGGAAATAAATAACATTGTTTATGCAGCAGCTAAAACAGTAATCACTGCAAATAATCAAAAAGCAATTACACCTAAGTCGACTAGTCTGACCGCAATAAAATTAAACCAAAATGCACCGTGGAAAGTGAGAATACAGAAAAAAATAGAAGGTTTTAGAAGAGATTTAGACAGACTAGTAGAAATTCAGAGAGGAAACTATTTTACTAGAAACACGATAAGATTTAAAAATAGGTTGTCTAATAAATATAACATATGAAATGATCAAGATTTAGATAACACTGTAAAACTAGTTAATCAGAAAATAAAAGCACTGGCGGGACGACTTAAGAGGTATGACGATATAAACAATAGAAATTTACAAAATTGAGCTGTTTCAAGAAAATTAACATAAATTTTTTAGAAGTTTTGATGGTCAGCAACAAATTCCATCACAGGTTCCATTAAAAAATGATGTACAACGTTTTTAGGAATCCATTCTAATAAAACCAGTATCATACAACACTGAAGCTCGATGGATTAAGGAAATAGAAGAGTCAATGGATGAAATAGTAGAACACACGTTTAACGAAATAAATGAAGATAAAGTAAAAAATACTTTATACTTATATATATACTTATACTTTCATAATACTTCATTTTCATTGGTACAATTGATAACCACAAGTTGCACTGATGACTGCAGCACTACCTATAATCAAACCTGATAGATATCACCCTTGCTTGAACATATCCATTGGACACCATCAAGCATTTAAACCCATCAGGCATAACCCAGTCAATTTGAAACCAAATTTCCATAAATGTAACTTTATAAAGATAAAAAATCATTTAGTTAATACAAATTGGCACCATCTTTTAGCTGAGGAAAATGTAGATGATGCAGCTGAAATATTTTATCAAGAATTAAATAAGGCTATTTTTCTTTATACACCTTTGCAGAAAAGCCCATCACATAAGTATCAATACTGTACCACATTCCTGCTTTGATTCGTTGCATTAAA